CTATTAAAGGGACTGATAAACTTTGTAACAGCACTGAAATTTGTCCTCAAATACAAGAAAACTTAAAACTAATTCTAAATTTAATATAGCTGAAGGGTCTATTTATAATCAAGATAACCTAAATCAAAAGCACAGTATAAGCAGCAAGCTGCTAACAATAGGCAAACAGATATCTGCTGGGCAGGGGTGGGATGTTTCAATAAACACACGTACACAAACATATTTAAATGAGAAACTAAGAAGTCAAAAAAATGCTAGAGACTTGGTCCTCAATAGACTCCACTGTATTATTTCAGTCTAGCTGCTTCTCTTTTTGCCCAGTCATAGAGGATACTTTCAGGTAACTTCATGTTCTGAAGGTTTCAGGCAGAAGTTCCTATTTCTTGCAAAGGAAGTGTTAGGGAAGTAAAGGTTTTCTGATGCAGTCAGTGAAAAATTCTGAACATTAACTCCTATCTCCATCTGACTTAAACTAGGATAGAAAAAGCCAACTCTACCCAGTAATTTACTAACTCTAAGAGCCAAGTAAGATTTAGTAACTGAAACATAAACTAGATTAAAAAATCTAGTTGTCTGAAAATGCAATGCAGAGTCATGTTCTGCTGTGAGAATGGGGAAATGGAAGAAAGAGCTGCTCCGACATACATCTGCACCTCTGAAATCCTTTTGGATCTCCATAATATCTGGACATAAGACACTCTACTGCGATTAATGTCTTATTTAGAAGCAAATACTACATCTTGCTAGAATAGGAAGTATAAGCTATGTCACCTCAAGGCTGAACAGTTGGAATACTCTTAAGTGGACTTGCACTTCAACTGCTAAGGAAACTTCAGCTGCCACAAAGCTTGGCAAGCCCTTTACTTAATGTACTTTGTGCAACTGTCTTCTTCATATTATGTACAATTCAAAACCTCATTTCTACATCTATGACATCCTGTACTATTTAAAACTTGTCTGGAGGAAATCCAAACAACACCATTATTAAAATGGCAACTAAATCCTTTAGTTCATCATCATCAAACAATACCAGGGCAGTCTTTGGACCAAGTGTTTAAATATTTCTTACACAAAAGAAATTGAAGAGTATTTCTGAGCTTGTCTAGGGAAGATCATTCTACAGAGACATTCCTGAATTTAATTGAATACAAATATAAACAGAAACACACTGTTTTTAACTCAAGTCTGCAGTAGTTATAAAATACATACTATACATAGAAAGCAACTAAAGATGGCCTGCTGTGTACTCACTTTAAGATATGATGGGCAACTTCATAAAGCCAAAGCCAAACCAAAATCATAGCCAGCTTTTTTTTTCCCACATTTAACTTCACATTGAAGTGTTCTTATTTAGACACAGACACACACAGCCTCTGACAGAAAGTTCTCATCTGCCCCTACACATACGTTGCTGAATACAGAAATTCTGAACAGGACCATCAAAAATACAGAAAAAAAACTTATTTTACTTTACTTACCTTGAATAGAAATGGAAATTAAGTACGATAAATTTAAGACTTAAAGATTAGAAGGGCAAGATTAAGATGGATCTTAGTGAGAGTGTTGATGTATTACAGAGGCATAGCGTTTGTATTTCAGCTTATAAAATTCTTAACATAGATATTAAATTGTCATCCTGATAGGAGTTGCTATAAATTCAGCAGCTTTGCTTTCCTGTGCTCCGTACCAGAATCTCTGTAAATTAAACTCTGGTCTCCTCCACCCAAAACAAGCATATTGTCATTTACAGAAACTTCTACATGAAATGCCACCAGCTAATGGAACCCTAGCCAGAAAGGAGAAAGAACTGGTAGTTACCTGGACTTCATCTACCTTAAATTCAAAATTTAACTTTTAAATGCAGTAGCATCCTGGGAGTTTCACAGATTAATTTACAAGTTTAAGCACATGAACCTTGATTTTTGTAGAATACGCTCTAGAAGGCACATGAAGGGCATAATTAAATACATCAAAACCATAATTAAATCAGAACTGAATGTATTTACATGAAAAGCTAAGTTCTCAGAGTAAAAAGTTCATTTTTCCTGTGAAAAATGCTATGCATAAGAAAACTAATTTTAAATTCTTGCACAGCAGTTCAATTTCATCAAGTTCATTTTCCAAGGTCAGAGTACAGTCTGACTAGGGTAATCTGTAATAGGAGGTAACTCCCAGAAAACAAAAGGCATTGCCAAGAATCCAGTTATTTTATCAAGACAATGTTGATGTATTTCATTTCCAGCTGTCCATACAAGAAAAACATGTCAACTTTACCCTGTGTAAATGTAACAGATAAAGCACAACTACGTAAGATTACTCTTCTCTCTGTAAAACAGACATCCACAACAAAAGTAATTAGTTCTTTTTAGACTCTAATGAGCTCTTTCAGGTTTATGTGAGCTAGGACTGATGCTTTTAAATGACTAGCTGGCCACCACATTACGAGTACTCTATCAAAGTCTACTTCTTTGACACTTCAGAGAATGCACATCACTGCTGCAGAATAAACTGTATCTCACTTTTATAAACTAAAAGATGTGCAAATAAACAAGTATCAGTTTGCCATTTTCTACCTGTATACACACCAGCATGAGCCCCTTCCTTATACACAGAAACTCAGAAGGTAAGGAATTAAGTACAGGGATGTAATTAGAAACTGATTGTCTTCATGCTAAAAACAGAGTTGTTTTGGTATAGCAGGAATCAACCTGGCATTCCTTCTTCTATACAAGGAGTTTCCATCAGTCACCACAACAATCTGGCTGGCTGATTCAGCAGAATGTATAAAACAGGAAAAGTGTACACACAAACAATGCAGCACTCCCTAAGATAAAGTACTCCAAAATCAGCTACAAAGATGTGTTATAAGCTACTTGCCAAGTCTGAGGGAGAAGGAATATATTGGTTACATAGTGATTTAGTAATTTTTGCAATTATACTAGTATTTGTACAACTAGTTCAATTGATCTTCACAGCTCTTTCTACTAAACTGCAAACAACTCTTAGGACAAAACAAAACTTTTAAGAAGGTACACTACTAAATCCCTTCTTTTCTGAAAAAAATATACAACACAGTAGTCAGTAACTTTAAAGTTATCCTGTGCTTCTACCCCTCCTTGAAATTCACAGCTAAACGAGTCATCTCAGACAGCAGATCAAAAGAAGGCTCAGCTTGAAATAATTAAGAAAAAAGTTTGAATCATCTCAAATATTACAGCTACCACGAAGTTTTCCTAGTGAACACTTACTAGACTTTAAACCAAAAAAACCAAAACATCTTC